AAAAAAGCATCTTCATTGAGCCGTTTTTTTTTTAATTTGAATTTTAAGTGATTTCTCCATAAGTCTACATGTTAAAATGTTGTTTTTTTAGGTCAATATATCTTACAAACGGTGTAGTGAAACCCTTCAAAAATTTAGTTGTGATATAATACTATTATTCCGAATAATCTATTAAAATTTCAAAAATTTTCATCATAAAAAATCATCACTACCGAACCTCCTTAAAAAAAACTTTTAACTTCTTGCTTTATGATTTAATCTGCATGTACACGTGCCGTAGATAAAACAAAAGTCTCTGACGCAATGGGACAAAATATTTTAGATCCTTCATGTAAAATGTAACGATCCGATAACAAGCGAGCATTAGTTGTTTAAAACTTCAAATGTAGTCATTGCTTTATGAATATATATTTTTTATAAACTTTATAGTATAATAAAATATAACTATAAATATCAATTATAAAACAAACAACAGTTTAATTAGAAAATATAATGAAAATAATACAAAAATTAATATTTTTGAACTCTATGATATCTTTCAAAATATTTTGGAACGTGTAAAGCGACTTTGCACGTCTTGCACTCCCATTTGGCATTTGGCTTAAGGCATACGTTCTCATTGTAGACCCTGTTTTACCTACGTATCCGGTCTAAACTACGTTTGAAAACACCAAAAAGAGAATGGCACTTAAGAGATCAATCGTGATAAAGAAATCTTTGATCTTTTTCGTCCCGATTGATTAATTAATGCCACGTCAGTTAAATGCCACTCTGATTTCAGTATATTTCCGAGAGAGTGTCCCTACTGACTACGTTGCAACTGACCTAACACAACCAACTATGAATTTGACGTTTTTTTAGTATCAGTCAATCGATATAGCTCGTGAATAATAAAGACAAGTGGGTCTTATCTTATCAATCAATCTTCTATCAATCTTCAATCTTATCTTATTAATACATCTAATCAATAATACTTTCGCTGTAAACATCATTCTATCTTCTTTGTCACGTAATAAATAACAAAGATAGAATGACACTTACTGCGCATGAGCGTTTAAAGAAACCTTGAGCGGTAACTTCAGACAACTGGTAAGAACTAGTTTACGTACGCTTCTTCATACGCGTTTCATAAGTGAACGGTTGCGTCAGAAACACGTAGAAAGGAATCCAAGGAAACAGGTGTCGTTATCGTTGTTACGAAGTGTCATTGTTGGCGGAGAGACATGTCTTTCAAAAATCTAAAATTCGAAATATTCAAAGATGAGAAGACGGCCGAGGCGATAAAGCATTATCCATATTGCTTACGAGGTCTTGTTGGAGTAGGCGAGAAAAAATGGTGTTTACCGCACAAATTTCTTACACTCGGAGAAGAAGTGTACAATTTTGAGCCTCGTCCGGACGATACCTATGTTATTACTTTTCCTAGATCAGGTAAATATATCATCCTTATTTTATAAGAAAAATATTCGATTTAGTAGTCCCAATCGTTCTTGTGTGATCCTGTTTTCTTTTCTTTAAAACAAAATTTAATCCTTCGTTTTCAATTAACTTATTTATTATTGTTATACGTCTGTCAAGGTACGACGTTGACACAGGAACTCGTCTGGTTGGTGGCAAACGACATAAACTTTGATGATGCGAGTCGCGAGCATCTATACGAGAGATTTCGCTTTTTAGAGTATGACCTTAACATATAATGATCATATGTGTAAAAGTTTATGCCTTCCGGTTTTCGAAATTTATAACAAATCCATAAAACATTTTCTTCGCGCCCAATTTCGGACGCATACATTTTTTTCACGTATTTTTCTCCTTTCATAAAGTTTAAATGAGAAACTTAACTAACGCTAATTCTTCTTCGCTTCTATACCCATGCCTTAAACAAAATATATCGATACTTGCCGAATTGAAAACAACGCTCCGTTATAAAACAAAGTTCTCTTTAGAATTACCACAGTACTAGAGGATGAAGGATTATTGAAAATGAGCGGTAGTGATATGTGGCAGAATAGCGTGAAATTCGCAGATGAACAACCGTCTCCACGTTTCATCAAATCCCATATGCCATTCGATCTATTGCCCAATGTCGTAAACAGCGACTGCAAGGTTTGTCTGTAGTTACTATAGTTATACGTTTTCGAGACTAAATATAGACTTGAGAATTTTGAATGGCAATATCAAAACGTTAAAATTAGTGATAATCGATCTTTATGATTGTACGTATGCTAAACATTTTCTGAAACATTTATTATCTGGCAAGTCTTTATGGAAATACAAAAGTATGTTTGCCACCAGATTATTTATGTTGCGCGAAATCCCAGAGACGTTGTTGTCTCATGGTACCATTTTCAAAAGGGAAACAAAGCGATAAAATACAATGGCAATTTTGAGCAATTCTGCGATATCTTTATGAATAGCCGCAGTAAGTAGTTTCACATGACATTAATTAATATTTACGCAACTCGATTTATTTATTTTTTATCTTCCCTTTATATTTTATTTTTTCTCTTTAACTCTCCACACATACACGGTGCTCATTAACTTTTTCCTAATCCATTAACTAATTCCGTGATATCAGCAATTTATGACCCTTACTGGGAACATGTGAAGGAAGGTTGGGCGAAACGACACAGACCAAATACATTGTTCCTTTTCTACGAAGATTTGATAAAGGTAAATTATGAAATTTCATTATTGCATAATTTTCATGTTTCTCTCTTCCCCTTTTTTGTAATAGTGTGTAGAACCTACTGCATTATTTTTCGAAAAGGACGATAATACAATATTTAATTTGAAAGGCATTAAATTATATGATTAATAATCAAGATATAAGAATTCCTTTAAAATTCCTTGGAATTCTAACAATATTTTTATGTACTCTGTACAGGATTTACCCGGATGCATTCGAAAGGTCGCCGCATTCTACGGGAAAAACTACAATGACGAACAAATCGCTAAGTTGGTAGATCACTTGAACATAAAGAAGTTCCGCGAAAATAAAATGGTGAATGTCGCAATAGGTGATGGATCAAAAAATGAATCCCTTTTCATTCGGAAAGGCATCGTGGGCGATTGGATTGAGAACTTTACCCCAGAAATTGAGATAAAATTCAATAAATGGATTGCCGAAAACACGAAAGATACAGACCTAATATTCCCTTGTTAGATCTCGCGATAAATATTTGCTTTTAGAGGAACATCTTAGAACGACTCTGATTTTGACTTGTATTGTCGAAATCACATTCCTAAACAACCTCCATTATAAGAAAACAGGCGGAAATTTTTCAAACATAAGTTATAAACAAAGTAATGTTACACACAAATATATTGGGAAATAAAAATTTATCATTCGTTTACTTATTATTCTTTCATTTATTCATTACTTGCGAATATTGCAAAAGGATATAGAACTTTTATGTTTACCTCAATCCATTCTATGCCCCTATGAGCTTTGATAAAGTTGCTCTAGAACACCCTGTATGCCGTTATCTTTTATCTCAATCTTGTTTATTTCATATCTGTATTTATATTTATATTGTATATTGCAATTTTTTTTAATAATATCGTTGCTTTATCTGTAACTTTAAGAGATAACGCTAAATCGTTCGATATATATTCTAAACGAGGGAATCCTAAATGCATGAAATTCAAAAAGTAACCCTATAAGCGCGTAAAATTATTTGATAATAAGTAATATATTTGGAATATTCATAGATGGTTATATGTACGTTCCTAATAAAATTAAAAAAAATATATTATTTGAAGTTATTGTAAAATCATATATATTTTTAAACATTCAATTTTATGTATATAATTATATATATATAATTTATATAATCGTAGTTTTTCATTTAAAACATATTGTAATACCAATTGTTTTATTATATAAATAAAGTTGAATGAATTTTGTGTAAAAATACGTCTTATATTTAAAAAATTATGTGTGTGTATGTGTGTGTGTATGTGTGTGTGTGTGTGTGTGCGCGCGCGTTTGTTTTATTTATATATTTTTCTATATTTTTATTATATTATTTTTCTTAATATTTTAAGAAATTTTGGAAATATGCCAAGAATATTATATGAAATGGACATATAATATCAATAGAACATTCCTATAATATTATATAATATTTCTAAAATATATAACATTCTTAGAATATTATAAGAATATTATTTTAATATTGAATAATATTCAAATAATATTCTATGAATATTATGCGCTTATACTAAAATATCAAGACAGAAAGATATTTTCAACTGTGCGCGCGATCGTGATATTTAAAAAAAAACAGTTCGCCGCGTTCTAAAGTCCAAAGCTACGAGCCACAGCGATATGAAGTTAGATCCTGCATAGCAGCACAACGAGTCGCGAGATTCGTAAGTATGGTCGAAGATACTTTCTTTCTATATGTTCTGCCTACCGTATCGCGCGCGCTGATTCGTCTATTTTCTTTAATAACTCGAACCTTTACGTGGTAGTTCGAAAAAATGACTTTGACTATGTTTATCTACTTGATTTGCGACATTCATTTTATATAATTTCAGTCGCGTTACCTAGGATGCTCTATATATTGCATAACTATCATATTGCTGATGTCATTTTCTTTATCGACAATCGATTATACAAGATAACTAGTAACGATAACTTGCTCGAGATATTATAAACGGTGATAATTTCAGAAACGCGTACAGCTCGAGAAACAGAGGGTGTGAAATCTATTTATTGGCGGAGAGACATGTCTTCCGAAAATCTAAAATGCGAAATATTCAATGATGAGAAGACAGCCGAGATATTAAAATATTTACCATATTACACACACGGTTTAGTTGGAGCAGGCGAGAAAAAATGGTGTTTTCCGCACAAATTCCTCACAGCCGGCAAAGAAGTGTACAATTTTGAGCCTCGTCCGGACGATATCTATATTATTACTTTTCCTAGATCAGGTAAGTGGATCGTTTTTATCTTATAGCAGAAATGTTGAGTGATTCTAGTGTCGTGATCCTAATCATTTTTGTGTGATCTTCTCCTTTTTTTCCTAACGAAGTCTAATTCTTCGTTTGTCAATTAACTCATTATTATTATTATATATCTGTCAAGGTACGACACTGACACAGGAACTCATCTGGTTGGTGGCAAATGACATGAATTTTGATGAAGCTGGTCGTACGTCTCTATTAGACAGATTTCCATTTTTAGAGTATGAGCTTAACATATAATGATCATACGTACAAAAGCGAAGTTTATATTTTACGAAATTTTTAAAATTTTATAATAAACCCATGACGAAAAATATTTTCCTTTCGTGCGCAATTTAACCTGTTAACCGAGCGGGACGTATAAATACGTCAAACGTAAACAATATCGGGTACAGGTAGAACATATGAATACGTCCTTGAAATATGTGTTGAAAGAGTTCGCGCCCGTTATATGTTGCGTAATTAAAAAAGGAATTCCCCGGTTAACAGGTTAAAACGAATTGCGTGATTTTCTGTTGCACATTTTTTCTCCTTTGATAAGGACTAGATGAGAAATTTAACTAACGTGAGTTAGTTCCCCTTCGCTTCTGAACCCATTCTTTAAGCGAGATATATCGATACTTTTCGAATGGAAAATAATGCTCCATTATAAGACAGAATTCTCTTTAGTATCTCCGTAATAATAGAGGATGAAGCGCTTGAAAAAACGCCCATGAAAAATGAACAGAAGATGAACGATAGCGTGAAATTTGTACAAGAACGACCTTCTCCACGTTTCATCAAATCTCATATGCCGTTCGAACTACTACCCAAAGTCGTAAACAGCGATTGCAAGGTATATCTGTGGTAGCTACACATTTCCGAAACTAAGTAAAGACTGGAAACCTCGAATGGCAATATCGGAAAGCATTGAAATTAATGATAAATACCGATAATTTATATGATTTGTACTAAACACTTTCCGAGACGATTATTCTATGGCCTTTACGGAAATGAGTAGGAATTGGAAAACAAAAATATTTTAACTTCTAGATTATCTATGTTGCGCGAAATCCCAAAGACGTAGTTGTCTCATGGTATTATTTCCAAAAGGAAATTGAAGTGGTGAAATACAATGGCAATTTTGAGCAATTCTGCGATGGCTTTATGAATGATCGCAGTGAGTAACTTCATGAAACATTGATTAATATTTCGCAATTCGATTTATTTTTCTTACCTTCCCTTCGTATTTTATTTTTCTCTTTAATTTTCCACACATATACGATACTCATTAACTTATTTCAATGATATCAGCACTTTATAGCCCTTACTGGGAACATGTGAAGGAAGGTTGGGCGAATCGACACAGACCAAATATATTGTTCCTTTTCTACGAAGATTTGATAAAGGTAAATCGTGAAATTTCCATCATAAAACTTAGCTTGTTTAATTTCATTAGAAAACTACTTTTTTTACTTTTAGAAGAGGATATTAACACGAGTCAATTTGAAGTGCATTAATTTATATTATTAATAATCAAGACATAAAACAAGAATTCCTTCAAAATTCCTTGGAAATAATACTTTTGTATACTCTGTACAGGATTTACCTGGATGCATCCGAAAGGTCGGCGTATTCTTCGAGAAAAACTACGACGACGAGCAAATCACAAAGTTGGTAGATCACTTGGGCATAAAGAAGTTTCGGGAAAATAAAATGGTGAACTTCCCATCGGGCGGTGCAAAAATGAATACAAGCATGTTCATTCGGAAAGGCGTCGTGGACGGTTGGAGAGAGGACTTTACGCCAGAAATTGAGATAAAATTCAATAAGTGGGTCGCCGATAATATGAAAGATACGGATTTAATATTCCCTTGTTAGATCTCGCAGTAGATCTCGCAGTAGATATAATTATTGCGAATATATGTATACCTTAACGGAATTATATAAGCGATGTAACTTGGGAAGATAACTTTAAAACTATGCTGAAACTTGATTTTCAATGTCTTTATTTGCTTCACACCTTTCGTAACCGATCTAATATTTACAAAAGAATTTCTTTAAGATCCGTTACTTAAAAATAAATTAAAACAAGAGCGAATTATGTCGCGGACTGTACGTTTATCTTCAACTTTACTGGCGTTCGAAAAGCATGTCTCAATTCCTGCTCGGCCATAAGTGCGATGTTTCTAAGTCTCTCACCCTTGCGTCTGAACAAAATGCTGCAGATGCGCTTGTTGGGACACGTGACAGATACCAAGGTACTGACGCTGTCGTCTGGGCCGGGATCAAAGTGCTCCAGTTTCACTTGCATATTGTATGGCATCTCCTGCGGCAGATTATCCAGCAACTTTGCCCGTACTGTCTGCTGTATTATGTCCTCACACGTCTGATTACTATAGATATGTTCTTCGTAATGCCATTTTCGCGGCTTGGCCGAGTCCAACAAGTAAGTCTGCAAGGGAAAATACTAAATAATGATAAAGAAAGGGAATTTGTTCCTTTTCTGCATTTCAAAAAATACGTGTTATAGAGATCTTGAAATATATGGAGATACTTTAAATAATTGAATAATTATTTTTATATTTATTTATATAGATAATATTAATGTATATCATTTATTTACTTTTCTTATCGTTATATTGATATATAACTACTTAACATATTGTTCTATTATTATGTAACTTATAATTTTCAATAACTACATATACATACACACACACCATCGGTAAAATCTCCATAATATATATATTTAAAGTCCTTCCTCGCACAATAACTTACCCTTAAGTCGTCAACACCATCTCCGGTTAGAGCTGATATCATGAACACATCTGTGAATTTCAGAGAATTCTTAGACTTGGTTAGAACTTTTGCGAGGTCTAACAATGTATTCTTCTTCTTCAACCTGTCCACTTTGTTAAATATTAGAATCATAGGAATTTTATCTTCCATATTCTTCAACAACTTAAATATATTTGGGTTAATTTTGTCTCTAGCAAATGTATTATCAACATCTTGCACAAGTCCTATGATATCTGCTGTCTTCAAAGAAGCATTAGGGTCTCTTTCAAAACTCTTAGCTAACTTGAATCGTTTTAATTCACCCGGAGATACCATTCCAGGTGTGTCCATAAATATCAACTGTGTATTGTTTTCTGAGTAAATTGCATCTGCCTTAGCCTGTGTGGTATGTACCTTACAGGATATTGCACACACCTAGTTAAGAGAAAAAAAGAGAAAAAGAAAGAAGTAAGAAGATACATATAGCATAAACAAAATTTATATATCACAGCTTACAAAATATAATAACTTTCTATAAAGTCCTGATGTGCTCTTCTTCAGAATTCTTTTACTTCCTTATTATCTACTTACTTTTTCATTTTTTTAAACTAGGACAAATTAAATTTTTAGATTTAATTTGATAATTACCGATCTCTTGATGAGCTGATTGACAAGTGTGCTTTTCCCAACATTAGGTGCACCCAGAATAGCAATATTCAGACATTTTTCATCTTCTCGACTTACAGATATGAAATTGTGGTTGCGATGCAACATCAATTCTTCCGCGTCGGTCGACAGCACGTCGACGTTTTTTGAAAAACATCGTCGCAGAAATCGCGAAGACAATCGAATTGCATATTTCTCGATTGTAAATAACATTTCTTCTTGAAAAGATTGATTTTGTAATATATAAAGTATAAAGTGAAAGAATATGCTTCAAGAAACCTTAATTTATAACTTATTATTTATCATTTTCAATGTTTGAGTTGAAAACAAACCTGTTATCGGCATTATAACCTCAATCACATTCTAAAATATAACTGCCATAGCATAGAGAAGTCTGAGAACAACCATGCACAGAAATTTCTTGGAAATTTCTTTTTAAAAAGCGTCCTCTGAAGAAACAGACTTCCACTTTGAGTACAAGTAAAGTTCACTTGACGCTCCGAATGTTTCAAAGAGCCATATAGACCAATCACAAGCTACGTTCCAATATTCACTTAGGTAAAACCGGAAGTAAAGAGCTCCACCTATATATATATTTCTAGGTTCACGTCTTCCGCTGAAAAAACAAACCATTGATGTCGCTGAGTGTGAGTGACAACAACGCGATATAATTGAACATAACCTGAAAGAAAACCATCGATTGATGGACGGTTTGCGGTACTTTCGACGGTTATAGTGAAAATCAGCGACATTCAGTCCCCTATCGGGAAACATGACGGGCCAGAACGCGACGAAAGAGCCCGAAGTAGACCCGAAGAACATAATAAAGAGCAGAGAGCTGCTCTACAGACTAATGATCAGGTTGTTTATTCTCATCTCTTTCGCACGTTATTCCACTAAATTTCACTCATTCGTCCTTGATGTCGTCACCTAGAGCGTAATTTCAATACAAACGCGCGAGATCATCGTTGTCACGACGGTTTTTCATGGTTTCGCAACTTTCCCGTCAATTAGTTAAGACACGCGTGTCACAACGGTTTTTCATGGTTTCGCAACTTTCCCGTCAATTAGTTAAGACACGCGTTTGGCTGTTAGATAAATCTTGTTGATTATTTCAGTCAATTGTTCTACGACGGCCATCAAACGTTAGCCGTGCAGCTCTCCAACATGATGCAAGCGGAACCACCTTGCCCACCCTCGGATCGGTTGCTCCATTTAATGCTGATCGGCGCCGCTCATGAGCCGGATCGTTCCAAGAAGGAGAGCAACAACGTATCCACATTCGCTAGCAGCTTCGACAACACCTTAGGGCCCGGATTGGATTTGGAATTTGAGACCGAGGCCCAGACTCAAGCTCCGGAACCAGCGCAGTACGAAACTGCGTACGTCACGTCCCACAAGGGAAATTGCAGAGCAGGAGCTTTTTCGGCTGACGGACAGTTGATAGCTACCGGCTCTGTGGACGCCTCGATCAAGATCCTGGACGTGGATAGAATGCTCGCCAAGTCCGCGCCGGACGAGATGGCGCCCGGGGATCAAACGGGCGGGCATCCGGTCATAAGAACTCTGTACGATCACTTGGAAGAAGTGACGTGCTTGGAATTTCACCCGAGAGAGCCCATACTCGTGTCCGGCAGTCGCGACTTCTCCGTAAAACTGTTCGACTTTAGCAAGGCTAGCGTGAAGAAAGCGTTCAGGACGATTACGGACGCCGATCAAATCCGGTGCCTGTCCTTCCACCCGACCGGCGATTTCCTCATAGTGGGAACCAATCACCCGGTGGTTAGACTGTACGATGTGAACACCGCACAGTGTTTCGTATGCAGCATACCGAGCCATCAACACACAGCAGGGATAACAAGCATCAAGTATTCGCCGGACGCAAAGACTTATGCATCGGCGGGGAAGGATGGGAGCATCAAACTCTGGGACGGCGTATCGAATCGATGTATAAATACCTTCGTGAAGGCGCACGACGGCTACGAAGTGTGCTCGGTGACCTTCACGAGGAACGGCAAGGTAGTATATCCATGGTGGTCACGTTGAAAGACCGATCACACACTTGCACGCAAAATTACAGAGGGAGACTTGCGTACAGAATATTAAGCTGGGTCTGTGTACAATGTGGTCGCTGGCAACAAGTCGTTAAAAAGTAAAAACACTCACTCACTCGGTCCACTTCCAATTCCAGCGACTGGCTCGGTCGGAGTCGCCGGAACTGAAAGTCCCGAATAACCGTGACCACACTGTGAATCCAAATATGTAATTTTACCCACTTTATGTTAGTCACCTTTCACACATTTGCAATTTACACGTCTTACTAGTGTGATTCCTTATACACTTGTGTAAGATCAGACTGTTGATACACGTATAAATGCGTGAAAAATGATTGCATGTGAAACTAAACACTTGGATCTGCGGTGTGTACAACCCTGCGACTACATTGTAGACCCAGCATGACAGATTCAAGCGCAACTGCTGAATAATCGTTGTAATTTTGAATTTGCAGTATTTACTGTCCTCAGGGAAAGATTCCTTGATAAAGTTGTGGGAATTGTCTACTAGCAGATGTTTAATAGCATATACAGGTGCCGGGACTACAGGTAAAAGCCTATGAACACGTTTAGGCATACTCGGAGTGAGTTTGACGTGCGGTATGCCTTGCGAATATTACAAATAACGAAACTGTTTGAGTATGACGACTGAATGCGCCACCTTCTGTAGGTAAACAAGAGCACAAGGCACAGGCTATCTTCAATCATACGGAAGATTACGTGATGTTCCCCGACGAAGCCACCACCTCCCTGTGCGCTTGGAATTCACGGAATGCATCGAGGAAGCAGCTGTTATCATTGGGTCACAACGGTCCCGTGAGACTGATTGTTCATTCACCGACCGCGCCGGCGTTTCTAACATGCAGTGATGATTTCAGAGCAAGATTCTGGTTCCGAAGAATGCCGACTCACTAATTTAACGTTAGATTCTAAAGTCAAAGGACACTCGCCGCGGGAAGTTACCTGCGATAATTTCTACTTTACGAAAATGTGGAGATTGACATGTTGAGAAGACATTTAAGATCGGGTATACGCGTTACGGCTGTAATTCCGAAAGAAATAGGTATTTAGGTTATTTTTTTTAAATAGCTGTTTATACAGTCTTACATTTTATTTAGATCCTAAGCTACGTACCTCGTACGTTTCAGTTATGCTACGTCAAGCTATAATAATATATAAACAGTATTTAGTAATTCTGACAGTTTCATGTTTCATAATGCGCAAGCAGGAAAGAAACAAAAATCCACCTTCGTCTCGAAACAGCGTGCGAAATAGCGTGAAGAAACGCTTTTCATTCAGGTGAGTACGGAGCGATACGAATCGGTTAAAATTTGGTGCAAACGACACGCGTCCACGAGAGTGATCTTCTAACTTGCGATTGCTCATTTACGTATGACGAAAAAAAGATGCGAACATAAAAAGTTTCAAGCAGTTAAATAATATTTTCGTCGAATTCGGGTATCTGGAAATTGCAATAACTTTAATCTCCGCGGTGCTAAGTCTTGTGATACATTTGCTTCAATTATTGTGAAAAAAAAAACTATATGTTTACAATAGCAAATTAATGAGATTCTGCGGAATGATCTGAAGATATTGGAAAGTTATATACGATATTTTTAATGCGCAAATAGACGGTATATTTTTGCGTTTTCCGTGACTTATATATATATATATATATATATATATGTTTCTGTTGTGAATTGCATATGCTTCGTTTTATTTCCCCGATGTACTCGGAATTACATTATCTCGGCGCTCCGTCTTACGTTGAAATAATAAAAAATACCAACGGAAGACACGGGCGGCAGTGAGCGCGAATCGAGGATCTCGCGGGGTCGCGTGTGCGTCGCTACCTGCGTAGTTCGGCACGGCGACGCCGGGCGGCGCACCTAACTCCCGCTCTGAGGTTTGACGAGGTGTCACGTGACCCACGCTAACCGCCATCTTTTCTGATCGTATAAACAGTGCGACCGGGTGCAGCGCGAATTCTCGCCGTGGAATCGTAGATTTCCTAGTGTTTTTGAGTGATTCGCACGCGAAGACATGTCAGACGCCAAGACGGGAACGAAGAGCGATAACAACGTCGAGGATGCGTCCAAGGTGAGCGGGCGGCGGGTACGCCAGAAACACCTTCGTCAAGCCGAGTTTTCATGCCGTGAGAGAGCGGCGTGTGTGTGTGCGACGGGGCCCCCCGCAAATTGCCGAGGCCGCGGGGACGCTCGGTCGGCGTCGACGCGAACTCCCGGCGGGCCCCCGGACGACAACAGGAGAGGTCGACGAGAGAGAGAGGATGCCGCGCGCGCGGTACTGCGTACCGACGCACGTAGGCCCGCCGCGGCCGTGCGTTGGGCAGCGCAGCCGGCCTGCTCGCCGACGAGAGTCTCCCAAAGCTGCGCCGTACGTGTTCACGCACCGTCCTCTCGTCGTCGGCAAAGATGGTGGATGTTTTTTTTATTTACGAGAGCCCGCGATCAGGGGGAGAGGGGAGAGGGTCGCGCTGCTGTTCCTCTTCTCCCTTGCTCTCTTTCTCGTTCGCACGCCGTCTGGACGGCGCCGCACGCGCGAAAAGGCGGGAAATCGGCTACCGCGACGGGTCACGACGGGAACGTGTCGCGCGTTAGCCTCCCCCAGCTCGACATCGTAGGAGTCGTCGCGCGCGCGCGACGCGTCGAGACGTTGGAGCGATGATATGGACGAGCGCACAGCAAAATGGCGGGAAACTTGAACGTCGCGACCGGCCACGGTTCAATGGTCCTCCCCCTTCCCCCTACGATAATCTTATCGCATGGGTAATTATCGTGTTGCGTCTCGTCGTGCGTGCCCGCCTAGTCTTCCTCGCGCGAGTAATCTCCGTGAGACGTCAGCGACGCGGCTGCGTAACAGGCGTGTGTCGATGTGCACGCACACGCGTGCATGCTCATGTATTGCGTGCGAGTGAGTGGAAACTACTCTCTGTCTCGCTTGTTCACAGGAGCAATCGACGGAGGAGAAGCCAACTCCGATGAAAAACAAACGAAGCGGCACCAAGAGGCTCTCCACTCTCGAAAAAACCACTCAGGAGAGCGAAGCGATTCTGAAGGTGCGAGGAAAGCCACGCGTGTGTGTGTGTGTGTCTTCGCCTCGTCCGGGCAGGAAGAGAATCTCTCGTGCTCGAGTTCTTTCTTTATCGTCGGTCCGAAAATCCGCGAGGTCACGATAAGTCAAGGTTCCTCATCTCATCCCTCGCGTGCAACGGTTATTTCCCTCCGTTTTCGGCTCACCGTCGACGCTTGTTGCTTACGTGAGCGCGAAGCTGTCAATGGTGGGGATATTTTCGACTAGTAAGGGGGGAGTGTGAATGGTGGGGCACAGAAAACCAATGGCCGCATAGGCGCCAATTATGAAGTGTGCTTGTAGCATCGACTATTGTGACGGTAACGTTTTTTTTTTCCGGAACGTTAGTTGAAATTTGCTGAAAGTTTTTAGACAGCGTTAAACACGTATCGATCGTGCAACTCTGGATAATTCGTTAAATTTTATTCCCGAAGAATTATCTCGTACATAAAATTAAAAAAGATTTTGTGTTACATGTGGTCTACCGAAATTTTTGTGTTACCTTAACACGGGGAACATGTTGAAATGTACACAAATATGTTAACATGTTCACCTTGTTAAAGTAACAGAAAATTTCTTACCGTGTAAGACATTGGTACACCTCTTGTACCCATGTCTTGGTAAGATATATCTTGGAAAAAGAAAAGGCGAAGCACTGTCGGCTCGACTACAACCTGACACATCATTACAGAACATGAATCAATCCGTCGGCGAAGTGGAAGGCAGGAGACGCACTCGTAGCTCGCTCAGAGGCCTAACATCAACGACGCCAGTGCCATCACCGCCCAAGAAGGAGAAGAGGGAAACGTCGACGAGAGGCGGCGGTGGTCGTGGACGCGGACGCCCCAAGAGGCAAGAGAAGAACAATGAGAACAACACGGACGAGGAGACGTCCAACAATAAAAGCGAAAAGCACACGGAGGAGGAGTCCACGAAGATAGAGGTGAACGAAGAGGAGGAGAAGGAAGAGAAGGAGAGTAGCAAAGCGATAGAGAACGAAGACAAAAGCGCTACGGAGGCGACTACGGACAGTAGCAAAGATGCCGGCGAGAAAACGTCCGAGGCCAACTCCAAGGATGAGAAGGCGACGGAGGAGTCGGAGAACGTGACGGACGAGTCCAAAAGCACCGCCGTGAGCGAAGAGAAGAAGCAGGAGGAGGTGAAGGACAGCTCGGACTTGAGTCAAGATGCTACCGACACAGCAGCGGAAGTACCACCCTTACCATCATCGGAGTCCCAAAATCCCTCCAACGCCGTTATTACCGAGGAAAACAAGGAATAACCTCATTTCGCCTGTTTACTACTACTTTTATGTGAGTATACTACTACTATTCAAGCATCTCGAGATCGCAGGGCTTCGCACGTGGTTCTCTCTGGTCTGCGAAAGACCACCGATTCACGTATTAATTTGGCGCACTGACACATTCCGCCATTACGTTATATCGCTTTTATCGTTTGGCTGTATAGACCGAATCACGCGATTACACGCTTTGACGACTTACCAGCGAACTGTATAGTCGTATTATTAACGTGAGATTTGTTTTACTATAGGAGGTACCAGCGGCGCACATATTGGGGTTCACAAATCCAGTTCCCCCTCGTCTATTTTAACTAATTAACACCTTCTTGTCGATCGCTGCTTCAACCAGCGGCAATAAACTTTTTATTTTTTATGTTGTCGTTACTCATAGAGGATGCACAGAGCTGTAAGGCGTTCTTTCTTTGGACGACATAAAGAAACTGTGTATATCCGCGACCAAGTTGCATTGATGTGAATTATTACTGATTTGCAATCATGATTCTCTTACTACATAGTCATGCTTAATTATGACGTCAGAGGCGAGATTAGTGTGAACCTTTATCCTTACAATATACGTCGAACTAGGTTAATTTCTATGCATATTATGCAACTTTCTCTTAGTGGGATATATATTAATTCGTTTTGATAAGTGAACATGTAATTCAGCCTGTACATGTTCTAAATTTTCCGCAAAACGTTATAACAGTTGATCGTGAATTATTTTGCAATACTTTTGACGTGTATAGTAAGTGAAAGAGAGCATCAAATTTTTCATTTTCTTCAATTTTGACTCAATGTGAATGCAGTAGGAGAACACAGAATTCTTAATTAAACCTCTTTCTTTACCTTACATAAAGTCAGATTATATTATTATATTTGATTAAGCTACTTGACGTCGCGTCATTATCGTCACACCTGATTATGTTGTACATAAAGAATATAATTCAGAAAAGGTCACCAACTGCTTATCCAGCGTTTGTTTTTGGATCATCAGTGCAACTTGGTCCTAAAGTTATGCGTGTCTCTCGGAGAATTTTCAGACGTCTATCGGGCATCCTTCTCTCGCGCTTTATTCGAATAATTATTTCTTCATATATCTCCTTTCAATTCAAATGTCGAATTTTAAGATAGGTATTCTTTAATTGGAGAATACCTGGTATATATTTTTGTTAAGTAAAATATTTGTTATATCGCACGTGTGCCGCACGTGCTTTTAATTTTCGTCTTTATATATCGAATTTTATTCTCTGACGCTCGAATATAACAATGCTTTCGTTTGCGCTGGTTAGTTAGCGATAAGCAACGCGAGGTGTAGAGCATACGTTGTTCATGTACAATGATAATATTATTGTAAAATATATTTAATATGGACTTATATAGAGAAAAAGTTGTTTTCAAATCAGAGCTGACATCCCCGGGTCTTGTGTAGTATGACACCTACGTGATTCAGATCTGGTGTGAAAATAGCTGAAGATTAATTCGTACATAGCAAATTACTGTAATACCTTTATCGTATATAAATAGTGACTGAATGAAGCGGAATATATATGAGAATTATGGTGAACTGACACTTCTCTTTTTTCATGAATTAAGCGGAAATAAAATTCCTGAGAAACGCGTCGCAGCGTTATCTGTTGATGTTTTCCTCCCTCGCATAAGTGTAATAACTAATTTTAACCGATTTCTCACACTTGTACCTCGCGTCGTTACTTTTGCCTGCAAAACTACTAACACTCCGCAGATTAAATCTCGCAATCCGAGAATGCGACGGTGAGAGGATGCAAATTGTTTTTGTCGAGTGCCGGGCGGAAATTCGTCACTGTCATGCGAGCTCATGGCGAGCTACCTTTTTTAACTTCCTTTGTGCAAAATCTCTCAGCACCTGTATTTCGTCATTGTGTATCCTGTTTTTTATTAGTCCAATATTAAATATGTTAATATTATTGTGTATCTGAACCTGTTGCGAGTGTACAGATTAGATTATTATATGATTGACGCACCATATCTAGAGGACACACTCACACGTACACACCCAATACATACACATATACACTTGATGAGACACCGATATAGTAATGCGCGAATCTAACACAGCAATGTTTTATTATGTAAATGTGTGCAATGAAAAGAGGGATTCTCGTGAGAATGCGGGCATTTAACTTGAACGCGGGGATCTTGCAATGAAGAAATTTAAGTGTTTTCTGGCCTCTAAAAATATCAAAAAGAAAAAAAGGGGAAAAAATAGAAAAAGTTTGTCTACACCGGTTCACAACACGAGAGAAAAAGAGAGAGAGAGTATATAGTTAAGTGTTTCCTTGGATAGAGTTGCACTTTTAAATGAACATTTATACCGAGACTCTGTACGTTCACGAAAGGATGATAGGATTTACCATTCCATTTTCCGTTTTCCTTTGCGCTATTTTTATTGTGCCAACGGTATTCGTGTATTGTCCACCTGAGATTTTCGATTGTAAATAGTGAAGATCAAGTGTAATATACGTGTAAATAGTTTAACATTAAGCTTCGTGTATCACACTGGACCTTTTCTGGATTACCTTGCGAAATCTCAGTTCTTAGAGTGCCTCTAGTGTTATTAGCACTTCGTTGTATAATAATACCAGCGTAGAATTCCGCCGATCGAAATCAAAACGAGCCCTGTAATAGCGAGTTTACATAGCTGTAACGCTTTCTAAGATGTAAACGTAGAGAGTAATCATTTCTTTCGCAATATATATATATATATATATATATATATATATAT